TACATAGCGGCGCTATGTTTCACCCATTTTACTTAAACAAAAGAGCCCCATCCCCATAATCACGCCACACACACACACACACCAGGGTCAGAAATTAACAGTAAGGAAATGGCACCAAAATTATTAAAAACATCCCTAAAATTCAAGAAAAGGCATCAACATGACAATGTATGAGTTTTTGTATCAAAATGTTATGAGTAAAAATTCAGTGCGCTAAAATAAGGCCTGGACAAAATAACTAGTATTCTGACATTTTAGCTTAAATTTATCATGAAATATGGTGTTGAATAGTTGTCTAAGTTTTATCAAAGTGAAACAATATATATATCAATATATAATTAGCAAGTTATTTCAGTTAAACTGTCTTGACAAAAAGAATGTTTAAAATATATTTTTTTCCCCTTTCCCTGGTTTTGTAGCGACTGGCCGTTCATTTTGCCCTTTGCCCAAAAATTATATAGACAGATAGACAGACTTGTGTAAACAAATTGAAATAGTTCAGGTGAAGTAGTTCTTAGTTCATCCTGTTCATTCCAGTCTGATGTTGTATTCAGTGTTGATCCTGCTTTTATCTGTTGATGTGTTGTTCTTTAGTTTGGGTTAAACAAATCCATTTTGCTTGGTTGGAACAGCAGCTATGCTAATTTTGTCTATATTTGACATCCCGTGGTAACTAGGATTTACACAAGCTTCAGTCTCTGATAAGCTACTACTAAATATATTGTAGTAACATATATTTTACAGCTGCTTTGCAACGATTTGTATCGTGAAAAGCGCTATACAAATAAACTTGAATTGAATTAAAATGAATTGAATGTGGAGTTTGAGACATGTTGTCTTTTCAAATGCCTCCATCTCATCCACAAAACGTATGGCTTTTTTCACCAAAAGTCTTTGAGGATTTGAGCAAAAGGAATGACCACTTACTGTTATAAATCTGTAAATACATAAAACTAACAACTTAACATGACAATACAACAAAATATACAAATGTACTAAGGTCAGAAGAACTGGCATTCTGACATATAGTTCAGATTTATCATTAAATATAGTACTTAATAGTTGTCTGAGGTCTATCACAGTATATTTCCATAAGAAAAAAGAGAACTCACTGAATGGCATCAATAGGGCAGAGGCCTACTTTTTGTATCCTGTAAGGGCAGACAAAAAAAATAAACAAACAAACAATTGGCATTCTTTTAGCCAAGATCATTTAAATCAAACAAGAATCATTTATTTGAATTAATGTGAAGCATAAATATGGAGAAAATTAAAATAACATATACAAATATATAAAGCTTCTCACTTTGGCGGGTGACTTGATCAAGCAGCATTGTAGCCAGCAGAAGGGTTATCGACACACACCTCATCTTCACTCTTGTGAGTCTGATGCACGTTAATTTGGGTCACCACAACTTGCACTTTTATGAACACTCGCAAGCAGGAAAACGAACATCAGAACTTCCTCCCCAAGAGATGTCAACTTACAAAACTTTTCTGTAAACTAAGAAACATTCTAGAGACCTGGCAATAAACAACAAATTTACATTTATGCACCTTGCATCATGTGAATTCCAGTTGGTTAGATTGAAACGGGCCTACACTTAAAAAGAGCCTCACATCATCAGGCCACAGATACACCACAGTTGGAAATTAATGGGAGACTGGGGAGACAATGGCACCAAAATTATTAAAAACTCAAGATTTGGAGTAAGATCCATCCATCTATCCATTTTCCATACCACTATATCCTCTGCCGTGTTGTGAGGATGGAGCCTATCCCAGCGTCTTGGGCAACACCCTGAACGGATGGCCAGTCACACACAGATACACACACATTCACACCTACAGACAATTTATAGTTTCAATTCTCCTACACGTTTTAGGATTGTGGGGGAAACCAGAGCACCCAGAGGAGACCCATGCAGACATTGTGTAAAAATGACCCTGTAGTTTATGTGATTTATATTCATAAAATTCAATATAGTTAAGCAATTTGACACAAGTAAGGATGTTGTTTTTCCCTGAATAGCAGCATGATTGCAAATGTAAAACAGATTTTGTTCAATGAGACGTTAATATTCAATGACATTTAAACTCAAATTTTGCTCCATTTTGCAAACAAAAATATTTAACTGGCATAAAAAGGTGTAACATTGCACTGATCAGCAACAACATTAAAACCACTGAGAGGTGAGGTAATAACAATGATGATATTGTCACAACGGCACCTGTCTAGGGGTGGGATATATTAGGCAGCAAGTGAAATTCAGTTCTTGAATTTCATGTGTTGGAAGCAGGAAAAATGGGTGAAAAAATCTGAGTGACTTGGGCCAAATGACTTGACAAGGGTCAAATAGTGATGGTCAGACAGCTGGGCTAGAGCATCTCCAAAACGGTAAGTCTCAAGGGGTGTACCTGGTATGCAGTGGTTAGTACCTACCAAAAGTGGCGCAAGGAAGGACAACCATAGTCAGGGTCTTGGGCAGCCAAGGCTCACTGATGCACGTGGGGAGTGAAGGCTTGTCCGTCTGATCACATAAAAGAGCTACAGTAGCTCAAATAGCTGAAAAACGTAATGCTGACAATGACAGAAAGGTGTCAGAACACACAATGCATAACAGTTTGATGAGTATGGTGCTGCGTAGCTGCAGACCAGTCAATCTGGTGACCCCGGTCCACCTAGTGAGCATCAGAACTGGACCACGATGCAATGGAAAAAGGTCTGTTAAATCATGTTTTCTTTTAGATCAGCTGGATGGCCGGGGGTGTGTGTGTGTCATTTGCTTGGGGAAGAGACTGCAGCAGGTTGCACTATGGAAAGAAGGCAGGCCGGTGGTGACTATTTTATGCTCTGGGCAATGTTCTGATGGCAAATCTTGGGTTCTGGCATTCATGTGGATGTTGCAGACCACATGCACCTCTTGATGACAATGATGTTCCCTGATGGCAGTGGCCTCTTTCAGCAGGATAATGCACCCTGCCACACTGTAGAAATTGTTCAGGAATGGTTTGACGAACATGACAAAGAGTTGCTGTGGCCTCCAAATTCCCCAGATCTCGATCCGACCAAGCATCTATGGGATGTGCTAGAGCATCTATGGCGTCCATAGTGCACCAGAACGCCCACCACACACCAGCTTATTGGTGGAGAGGAGACAGAGTGATAAGGCCAATCTATAGATACTGTGTAGGGATGATTATGACATCTTGGGAATTTTTATGACCACAGAGAGTCAGTACATCAGTTTAATCATTTATCTGAAGGACAATGCTTCTTGAGTCAATATACTGGAGTACTAGTACCCATACAGACCACAGGGTGAGCACCCCCTGCTGGCCACAGTAGCACCTCTTGCAGCAGCAACCTAGGTCTCCCATCCAGGTACTAACCAGGTTCAACCCTGCTATACTTCAGTGGGAAACCAGGTAAGAGCTGTAGAGTGATAGCTGCTAGCAGTGGCATCATTATGATGTTGCATAGGCTGCTATGATATGCAACCATCATCCCAGACCACAAAAACCTGACCTAGCTTTCATTTACCTCACTGACCTTTGCTCTTGTTTTAAATTAGAAATCCAGACAAGGCCCACTCATGTTATCTGACAGATACGAACATCTCCATGGTATAAACTGCTAGCCATAATATAAATGCAGTAGTCTGAACAAATGTGAAATGCAACTAGGCCAGGAGTAGGCAAGTTCGGTCCTAGAGAGCCGCAGTACTGCAGAGTTCAGCTCCAACCCTAATCAAACACACCTGAACAAGCTAATCAATGTCTTCAGGATTACTAAGGCTATAGGCAGGTGAGGTTTTTTTTCAGGGTTGGAGCTGAACTCTGCAGGACTGCGGCTCTCTAGGACCGAACTTGCCTACCCCTGAACTAGGCTCTACTGATTTTTACATAAGTACACCGGAGACATAAGCTTGACTTTATGGAAAGTTTATTCTTTAAGCGCCCACATTTTCTCACAAAACCCACCCTGTGATCTACTCCACCTCCTCTCAAACCAACACGTGTGCATGGAATGTAATGCATAATGCAAGGGGATGGGGGTTTCAATGTGCACAACTGCAGTTCTTCACATGCACACATGCGTTGTCTAACCGTTTTTCATATGCTAATACCATAGTGGAAAAAAAAGTATTTAAATGTAAGATATTGTACATGAGTTAGATATGCTATAGTTTGTGTGACGTAGTTGTACAGTGAAAGGGGAAAAACCCACACAACTACGTGGATTTGAGTGTCTAAACCCACACAAGGGTTAACTGTATGTGTGAACGTTTTACTATCTTCTATCTACCCACTGACACACTCACAATCACACTAATTCATGCACACAAAGGTCAAAATTACTCAGAATTAACATTTTAACACATTTTATTCATTCATTTACTTTTTTTTGACCTGCCATAAGGAATTTTAAAGAACAAAGAATTTTTAGAATTTTACATTCAGCAAACATAATCACACAGCCACTTACATTTTTATTGGTTATTAACCACATTGGGAAAAACACTAAATTGAGCTGAAAGGTTATTATAGTTAACTGAAACTTAAACACACACACACACACACACATTTTTGTTACTTGGAATAAAATAAACTTTAACTGAAAACTTTGTTATTTTAATAAATAATAAATGACAGTTCTCATTTTCATTTAGTTCATCTTGATATACTAAAATAACTAAAACTACATTTAAAAATAAATGAAAACTATCTAGATATATTTATAAAAACATATTTATAAAAATGACAAAATCACTCAACAAAATTACTCAGATTTGAACTAAAACATAAAATAAAAAATAATTCCAAATATTAACAAAAACTATAATAATATCTCTATGATGCTAAAATAATTATCAAGCACAATAAAAAAATCATGCACAGCACTGCAATATACATTACGCAATACATTTTAATTAACCATGTGCAAATAAAAAAAAATCCAACACAAACATCACAGACATGTTAAAAATTTGCGTAGTTCAAATGAAGTAGTTCTTAGTTCATCCCGTTATATTCCATTGTGATGTGGTATTCAGCATTGATGCTGTTTTAAATGTTGATGCTGAGTTTACGGGACGGGCTGTTGCTGCTGCCTTCTTGTTGTCCACATATTTCCTGGCATTTCTTGCCGAAGGGCTTAGTGGATCAGCGCAAATGAAGCGACCTTTGACAGTTTTAAACCTGTAAGTACATAAAAGTAACAATTTAGCATGATAATACACCAAAATATAAAAAAGTACAAATGATTACCCAAATTTAAACTGTACATAATGTTATGGGTAAAATGCCAATGTACTAAAATAAAGCCTAGACAAAAAAAAAAAATAGCATTCTGACATATTAGCATGAAATATTGTTGAATAGTTGAGATATATCACCGCATATATGCCTCAATGTGAAAAAATAACTCACAAAATAGCATCAATATGGCAGACGCCTGCATTTTGCATCATGTAATTTTCAATATTTTCTTTGCGGGGAACCCGATTTGATGTCTTGAGACAAAGGCAATTTGACCGGCCACTTACTACAAACACCAAAAGGAAACGAAAGCATTTTTAACACAGACAGTCATGTTGACAACACCATTTAGTTCAAAATAACATAATATATTTGAATTAATTTGAGGAATTAATATCAAGCAATATGGAGGTATTTCTTACTTTGGCAGGTAACTTGAGCGAGCAGCATTGTAGCCAGGCACAGCAGAAGGGTTACAGAAACACACCTCATCTTCTCTTGTGAGTCTGATGCGTATTATCTTGGCTCACCACAACTCGCACTTTTATGAATACTCACAGAGGGGAAAATGAGCATCAGAGCTTCCTCCCACAAAACTGTCACCTGTCCGCTTGGAAACAAAAGACCCCCTCATCACCTCACGGACGACCACTGTGTACAGACAGGAACATTCACAGCTTTCTTAAATTCAGTGGTTTACATGACCATGAGAGCATGGTCACTGCTAATGCAGGTGTGTCGTAGAGTGGAAAGTACCAAGATGTTCACATAATGAAGAATAAAATAAATAATGAATGAACTTTGCAAATTATATATTGACTGACTATTACAACATCAGTGACTACAGTGTTTCACTTTCACTAAATGGTTATGCTTCTGGTAATATATAATTAACAAACTGTTAAATTAAAAGTTATTGTATGTATTAAAATATTAGCTTATAATATATATGTACATATTTATTATAAGCTAATATTTTACATACATTTCTAGCAAAAAAAAAATGTAAATGACATTGTAAATATTCTGAAATTGCTCTTCATGAGTTCTTTCTAACTTGGTAATATTGAGAGTTAGTGTTGGTTTCCTGCAGTCTGCTGGTGTGGTTCGTGTTTAGAAGGGGCTGCTGTGACAAAGTCTCTGTGGTCATTCACCGAACTCGGGGGGGAAATACGCATTAAGCATACATACAGCCTTTTTCCAAGTACAGAGGACACAATTTCTAATAATCAAACCCATTAAGTCATATGCGAGTGTTTCATCTGGAAATAATTAATGTGATGTTGAATGTTCCTCATAAAAATCCAAAACAGAAAAACTTTTTAAACTGTTTTAAGCTCAAATTTTTATGAAATTGATTTACTTTGAAAAAAAAAAATCTTTTCCAATGACCAAATAATAGAAATTGGAGTATTTAGGTTTGAAGGCCTTAATATTGTAAAGATATATCAGATTTAATATTGTGTACTTGCTATGGGAATAACAGTAAATTATGCATAATTACAAGAAATTAACCTTAAACCTTACTCCTAACCCTAAAGTAAGTACATGTTGTTAAGTAATGTTAATTACACTGTAACAAGGATACCTTTAAAATAAAGTGTAACCAAATATTGTACAATATTTGCAGAAAGCAAAGCTGGTGAGAATAATAAGCGGGCATCTTTTGACGTGCATCTACAGATGTGTCTGACAGACTAGGGAAAGTCATTGTGGTGTACTGCAACATCATGTGACCTTTAGCATGTTCTATGTAAAGATCGGATGAGGCTTGGCAGGGACTGCAAGTGGCCCACAAAACTTTTCCTTCCTCACAAAACCTTCATAAGGCTCTAAGACACATTCATATGTAGAGCAACGGCAATAAACAAATAAACACAGATGCAGCATTTTGCAGACCTTTGAAACGAAGAGTGGCACGCTATCGCTGCATGCAAGCATATGTGATTTCCGTTGGGCTAGATTGATTGATTGATTGACTGATAGGTCAGTCTTTTCTCATACCTGACAGGAAATTTCTTTGCAGCAACACCAAGCATGGACCAGACAATATGCACTTTGACAAGCAATATAAAAGACACAATATACAAAACAGCAAACTACAGATTGTAGGGTAATATTTGAAGGCACATGAAGCCGTGAAAACGAGTGTATTCTACAGTAGAAGAGGTTTCATTGTATATAACTGGAAACAGCCAGACATGATACTTTTTTAAACCCCAATATTGATGCCTGCATGAGCTATAAATGTCATGTGACTAATCACCATGGAGCCACAGGAAAATGACGTCATGACCAGTGACAGCACAAAAGTGCATATACTGTAACATAATGTCATTACTTCAGTTTATGTTGCTCGAAAATTAAATGATTACCTGAATAATGGTGTAGTTACGACATCTACCAGCAGGGGATTGTTGATGGAACAGGAACTGTTGGTCTGAGCCATAATTCACACATGAATAATCAAACAGAGAAACGTTAACAGCCACTGAATTGAAAATGCACAGATGAGAGTTAAAATATGATTATTTAAACCTGTTTATTGTGTATGACCAGTTAAAAACAATATCCAGGCCTCTTGTTTTCAAATCAAACAGGCAGAGTTAAATCAAAGAACAGTTTGTCTGTCTTGCTAAGATGAAATAAGTTCTGTAAAATGTGAGGCACATGAGTCTTCACACCTATATGTGCCAGTATTCAGACAGCAACAGGTACAAGTGGTGTGTTGTCAGTGGTCTGAGTTGTTGCTTTTCAAAAGTTTGAATAATGTGCAATACAAAGAAGAATATGAAGTGTAAAAATGCAATAGAACTGATATTTACCTAAGAATTCATCAAAAAAGAGAGGAAATGCATTAGAAAATGGGCTTTCGACATTTACACAGACATGAGACATGAGCAGATGGCAGCATGTAACAAAAAAAAAGAAAAAAGAACGAAAGAAAGAAACAAAATCAGTCACTAGGGGGCGCTACTTAGACAAATTTATCAGGGTAAGCTTCCGTTCACATACCTTAGGTACCAAAGCGTGATACTTCTGTGCATTATCCACCAGTTTCACAAAAAAATAATAAATAAAATAATAAAATGAAATGAAATAAAATAAAATAAATAATAATAATAAATAAATAATAATAAAATAAAATAAAATGACAGAAAGATTCTGAAAGTGTATAGTGTTGAAGACTATTTACAATTTACTGTAGTACTGTATCTTAAGTATTTAGGTGGAAACTGTGGTTACCATGGTAAATGTTTGTAAATCAAACAATGACTCAGATAAAGTCCATTTCACTCCCACAAAACAGGTGATGGTGTTGTATATTGATTAGTCATTGGTCTGGTGCTTGTTCTCACACATTATAAGTTACAGTCATTATAAGGTTTTGACTCAAATACCCAGTTACACAAATGTGTGTTTCTCTATCAGTGTATTTTATATCAAAGTTTAGGAAAACTAGTTTTATATCTTCAACAAAGGGAACTTTGTTCAGTTGAGTAGAACTGTACCTAACATGACAACTCAGTAACCAATACGCTTATCTGTATAAACAAGCATTAAGACTCTCCAAAAAACATATTTCAACTTAAAACTATAGTAGACTATAGTATTTCTCAAAGGAGTATGTGATGCCGTCTACAAGTTCAAACTTTTCATATCTGAATATTTCCTGTTTCCTGTTATCAGCGTTCATCTGTGGTTTCGCTAAGTGCACAGCAAGCAATTTTGCGTTTAAAAGACGTCTATTAGCCGTCTAAACACAGCCCAGACGTCTAGGCTAAAACACGGCTAAATTTGGGCTGTCAGTGAAAATTTAATAGACGTCTAATCATAGCCCAAGAATAGACTAGTCATCAATTAGACCGCTATTAAACGACTACATATATACATCTAATAGACGGTGAATATGGGTCTAGGCTAAAACAAGGCTGAATTTGGGCTGTCAGTGAAAATTTAATAGACGTCTAA